CCTGCACCGTGCATACGTGGTAGGAGAAGCCTCCTTACAGAAATGGTGAAATTTTATCATTATAATAATACACTCATTCCTCTGTTCGACGTCTCCATGCCAAAGCCTAAACAATTTATCCATAATAGATATAAATACGAATATAACTGCCACTGTGAAATCTATATGGCACTGATCATATTTATGTGAAATATTTATTTATCTAGTGATCAAATTATCTTTTTTAAAACCCTATGGTTCAGGAGGGTGGATCTCTTTTCCCACCAAGAGAATTTAGAATGGTCTTACTTGTGTTTGTGGGCAGCACACTCTATAAGGGTTGTCAACGGTTCTGTCACTTGGGCTTTTCACAACTTCATCAAAGGACTGAGTTTCCTTCTACATTTGTATCATTACTCTAAAAGCATATGATTCACAATAAGTTGAAAAAAAAAATGTTAGATGTATATTTATATAATGGATATATATATTATCATCCATAAAATGTATATACCGTAACCTTCCACTGGCAATGCATTGTCGTTTTAAATGATTTCTTTAAAGCCATTCGAATGCTCCTGCAATCACATGACTCCAACCAGGGATTGTACTTTAGCATTTGACTATATCGTCAAAGTAGGAAACAACATGTAAAAAAAAAAAAACAAGGGCACTCTAATTATGAATTTTAACAGTGATTTATTTCGAACTATAACCAAAGCTTAAAACAAGGTGTATTTATACATATAAGGACAATCAGGAATTGACGCTATGTAAAAAAAAAGAAAAAAAAAAAAAATATACAAAAAAAAAAAAAAAAAAAAAAAAAAACAAAGAAAAAGCACCAATAATACAGAATTTTGTTAAATAATAAAACGTAGGTAATTTTTCACACGAAACCAAACAAATCCCACCCTAAACCACCACCCGCTTACACATGACAACAAGGTGTATTTTTATTACATTTAGCAATAAGGAATTGATTTAAAAACTCCTATCCTGTGTAAATATATAGTGTTAAGTCAAAAAAAAAGGTGATTTAAAATTGAACAAGTTGTCAACAATCTGAACTTTTCAAGCCTCTGGTACATTGAGTCGGAAGGGGTAAAAAATGTGAATTCCAGATTTTTTAGTAAAAACTGCGTCGGAATTGTTACTACTCGGGATTATATTACTTGACTGTATTTCTTTGTGTTTACAGATTCTGGATACTGTCATTTAGATTACAGCTTACAATATCCAAGATAGGGTAATGTAGGAGTGACAGTAAAAACTATTCAATTAATATGGTTTTTTCTGATTAAATTCAAAAGCAGTAAGCATTAGATAATCTCTAAGACCACATTTATCACGGAGAAAAGAATTTAATTGGTGCCTTCCAAGTACACTCGTAAATTCCAACCCTTCCTAAAAAAATATCTTTATTTTCCCACTTTTAGGGCCCTAGATATAGGATGGGAAATATTTTGGTTATAATCAGAAACATTTGTAATATTAGAGTATCCTATAAGGAGAGGCAATGATGCATGTCCAGTATCTGTCGCATGTCCATTGTCAACTTATCGAGTGAAGAGTTTCAAAAATAAGTATGGCCATATGTATGGCAATAATATACAAACGGCATATATATCCATACATGAGCATCCTTATTACCTGTAAATGGATAGTCCAGTAGGTGATGATCGACTTGCCTTACTAGTACGCCTATATATAGGGAAGCAAGAAGCAAAAACCCAATAGAAGCTCTTTTTTTTTGGTGGTGTGATATTCTAGTTTAACCCCTAAACATGGTAAAATGTTTAAAATTTTCAACTGTCTGTAAATGCAAACACATCTGCTTGAGGGGGGGGAGAGGGGTGGTCTTTTTATTGGTGGGTTTGCTTATTTTCTTTGTTAGGCGCTCAAAAGACAAACAACCACACATGCAAAGTTTCCAAAAATCAAAAACTCGGCACGCCATAACCATGGCCAACCCCTTATTTTCTTATTTTATGGCATGCTTTATTTTGGACGGGTAAATAAGATTTCAGCTAACAGAATGGTTTTGAGATATAAAAACAAACATATGCGAAAGTACTACAAAACTTTTAAATACTTAAAATATATTTCTATCTTTTGGAACAGTACTTCCATGTATCCAGCATAATAGAAAATGTAAATCTGTATAAACTAAATGAGCCATCCTCTCTCGTCCCACATAATTAAGGCCTAAGATACATAACATTCACAATGAAATGATTTATAATTTCTCAGATGGTGTTTAATGAGTCAATAAGTAGAACAACTTATGGATGACAATGACATCAAAGAAAATGATATAATAACACTTATGTGAACATCGGCAAGTAACGTGGTATTCCGTTGTATTGTGTACAATACTCCGTCTCTCCTCTCAGAAATCAGGGCCATCTTACTATACCCCACACAATCAGAGTGCAAATGTAAACACTAGACCCTTCCTCAATTTCCTTTAAAATGCGGTCCGTGGGGTTGTAATTTAAAAAAGCTCTTAAAACAGTGCACTTAAATGTTACAGCTTCCATTGTAAATGCTAGAGGACTGACTGAAGGGGAAAAGAGGGGACTTGCATTTATGATTATTTTCAAGAAATATTCTTTGAGAAAGTCAATCCCGGACCCACTGGAAACGGATCTCAGTATTAATACTCGTTATGTTTATTGGAAACCTAATACTTATTTATGCTATACTATCCCTTCAAAAGAGAAATATTGGTGAAAATAACGTAGAATGTAACCAAGGAGCATCAACTCTCAGTTCATTAAAAGTCAAGCTGAAATTACTGGTTGGCGGTTGTCTTTCAAAAAGTAGTGGACGTCATCATGTTTTTGCGGAAACAATTATCTGCTGTCTAGAAATGTGATTAAGAAAGAGGAAAGAAGTTTGTCACCTTAATATGAAGGGAGAATAGATACTTAAATTTTATTTTCACAGTTATTTTAGATTCAAGATTATCTGTTATGAAAGATTACCATGTTTTTAGATGGGTCATGAAGCCAGGGGAAGAATTAATCTTGATCTTTCTTTCTTTGCCCCTAAAGAACAGGACGTTTTCTGTTAGTTTGGAAGACCATTTGCTCAATTTTCTAATTACTGTTTGCAGCATGTGTCATCCTTAGTTGCACAAGAAAAAGGACCTTGAGACGTACTAGCTACAGTATGGAGTGGTCACTGGTATGGTTGGCCGAAGTGCCATCAGCTTTAGCAAAACCTCCACCTACTTATAATTGTAATATAAACACACCATTCTCCTGTCCAGGGCATTGTGTATCTAGAGGACTTTAACACGGTGTAAGCATGGTCATACAGATTAAGTGCTGCAATAATGGAGAGTTATTATTTCATATTCCTATAACATTCTTTATGCTACTTCTCAATACCTATACTGAGGTGAATAGAATTTAACTTACAAATGGCAGTGTAAATTCAAGGCTACTCCTGCAATACATTTGCTGCTATTGCCGGAGTACAGTTTATTAATTGCTATCACATCCACATGCCTCAGTTTTCCTGTAAACCAAGCAGCACGGGACTTTACAACTGCTCCCTGGAAACTAATTGGAAATAATGCAATGGTAAGGGTAGCTAATTCCTCACTAAAATCACAGCGATCCTATCATCATTTCTGTGCTTGTTTTATAGTCAAAATTGCAGAACAACTTAACTAATGAATACTTCAAACAAAAAAATTTTATAGAAGTTTTTGGTGGCCGACAAAACGGGTTCTCATTTTCATAACTTTTTGCACATGACTATCATAAATAGTTCTATGGTGTCTCTCCTGAAAGTTTTATATATAGACTTTATTTTTAATAAAACTATGCAGAGCAAGAATTACATGGCAACTCACTATAACCAGAAACACCAGATGCCTTCATGGTGACTAGCTTTCTCTTGAGATAAAAAGTGATGTGTATCTCAAAATACTTTAAATTTGTAAATGTGTCAGAAACACCCTTTTTGTTATCGGAATTGCCTCCGTAAATTTAACCATTTACCAACTTGGAATCCAACTAACTATGTTTCAAAGAACCATCTGAAATAAGCAAAGTGATATAACTTTAAAAATTAAATGTAGTAACATAAAGTGACAATTTTAAAACATCATTGGGCGGTGAGCCATCTCTTGGTAAGGGGCCGATCAGTATCGAGAATGATTTCAGCCGGGTGTGGAAATCTGTGGGGTTGGTGGTGGGGAGGAGGCTGTTGTCTGTATACTATCCTCTTAATGGGGCATCATGGCCCTAACCAAGAAAAAGTGGAGGTTAATGAATGGGTAAGGGGACCCTGCAGGCTGGGCAAAGAAGGAAGACAACAAAAACAACAAACCCACTGGCCAAAAAAATCATTTAACTTCTGGCCAAAGTGGGGGAAAAACCTTCCAGAGAGGTTCAGAGGACTACTACAAGCCAAAGCACAGTAAGAGTAAGATGGGGGGGGCACAACCCCTAGTCGCGTGTGGATATATTTCAATATCAGACTGGAATTTAGATTAAACTAATTCCAGGGGTAATTATTTATTATGCTAGCCACATTTTAAGTTTGCACAGGAAAGCTAAGGGTGATGGTGGTAAATATCATAGTGGAAACCCATTTTGAAAACGACTGCGAATTTATAACATTTCCAATCTCTCAGTAGTAGGCTCTTTTTCATTGGAACAGAGTTCTTCATCAGGTCTATTTTAACTAAAGGAATTAGATAGATGGTCTTCCTATTTATAACTGATGACTGCACAGAAAATGATCTAAGAAGCTTATGGGATTTCATAGTTCCCCCTTGAGTCTTTTACCCACATCTCCACACAAAAAAAAAAAAACCTTGATGGAATTTATTTGGCATACTTTTTGGAACAGTGATAAGGCTACTTTACAATATTTCAATACAACTGGGAAAACTAAGCAATGGTGTTGTCGAAAACTAAGCTGCACTTTACTCAATGACCTTGGTTTAGAAAACTGGAGTTTTGCATATTGTCTACAAAGTTAATGGTTATCAATGAGGATCAATGCTTGTCGGCATTCTCTCTCCGCAGCACCTGACAAACCTTCTTCTTATCTGTGACTGCGTCTCGCCGCCATTCTACTCGTGCGTGCTGCGGTGGGGTCCTCTTTGGCGGCGGGGGCTCGGGGGCAGGCATCCCTGCACCTCTGCTGCTTTTCCAAGTAAAAGTTTTTTATTGGTTTTCTTTATGCTTCTATCTGGATCATCGATGCAGACAATTCTGCCCCCGTTGTTCTGTGAACGTTTATACTTCGCAGGCAACGAAGATTTAATGTGCTCTGGAAGACTAATTATTAATGCAAATGGCAAGGGCTAACCATTCCTCGACTTTTAAACTCAACACGAGACAAGTTGGGGGGGCTTTAAAAAAACCTACTAGCCACCTCGGGGAGGTGTGTTCTTTTCTGTGTCCTGTTCATTCGATTAGTATCAGCCGTGGGGCTTTCGGTGCTTCTTTTACCGCAACCTTCATAGTTTGACTATTCCCGAGGTGTGGCCCTAGCACATGGCAACAAAGGGATAACAGAAAACGCGCCTGTCATTGAGTCTATCTTCTAGGGGAAAAATACTTCGCAGCGTGAGCTATGCGGACGGGAAGGCCGCGCCTGACTCCTTCTAGCTGGCGCAGGAAGGGTGAGAGCCAGGCCGGGCGTTCTCTCTAGGCCGGGCTCATGGCTCTGCGTTCCACGTTAGGGTGTGTTCATGGTATCTTCTCTTGATCGTACGTAGGCCCCGTAGCTTGTCTTTCCCGATTTCGAGACGGCAGTTGGTTGTGGTGCTGGACTGCCCTCAGGGGTCGTGTGATATAGGAGTTGGTTGTGCGTTCCCGCGTGTCGCCTCCTCTTTTTATGCCTTTCTTTGTTCTTGTCGACTAGCACTTTCGGTCTGGGCCTGTTTTGCTGCGGTATGACTCACCAGGGGATGGGGCGGGATACGAACACTCTACGTCGCGGGCTCCCAAATACGGGGTGCAAGGGTCGACTTTCGCTTTCCAGAATGACAAAAGCAGTCATTGAGCTAGATGGGAATGAAATGCCTCACAGGATTCAGGGGGAAAGGATGCGAAGTGGGTGAAGCGTAACACCAAAATCTCACAATCACCACTGAAGAACTTACTCATGCAACCAAACACCACCTGTTCCCCAGTAACCTAGGGAAATAAAAACTTAAAAAACTAAAGCCAGATACGGTAGCTCACGCCTGTAATCCCGGCACTCTGGGATGCCAAGGTGGGTGGCTCACCTGAGGACAAGAGTTCAAGACCAGCCTGGCCAACATGGTGAAACCCCATCTCTACTAAAAACACAAAATTAGCTAGGCGTGGTGGTGGTCACCTGTAATCCCAGCTACTTGGGATTACAGGGGTGAGCCACCTCACCAAAGTGTTAGGATTACAGGGGTGAGCCACCTCACCCAGCCAAACATAACTTTGATATGCACCAGGAAACCAATTAATTCATGTGGCTTGCTTTTTTGCAATTTTTGCTTTCTTGTGATGGTCTGGAACTAGATCCTCAATATCTCCGAGGAATGCCTGGGTTCCTGTTTACTTGGCCGGTAGGAAGCTCAGATCCAAACTCACAGACTCAATATACAACCTGGGTAGCCCTACTCCTTGCTGTATTACTGTAAATTTAGTACAGTAAATTTACAGTACTAAATTTACTGAGGCAGGAGAATCACTTGGACCTGGGAGGTGGAGGTTACAGTGAGCTAATTGCACTCCAGCTGGGGTGATAAGAGCAAAACTCCATCTCAAAAAAAAAAAAAAAGGCCAAAAAAACCAAACCAAACTAAACAATCAAATAAAGAAAAATCAATAACAAGAAACTGAAATGCCCCACAGGAATATTTGTCTCTGTGCCGCTGATGTTGGGAATAATGACTCCAAAGATGTTTCTGAATAAATGGCTCTGGGTTCTCACAAGAGCCTCATGCTGTCGGGAAGCCGTGAATACCGACTTCAGCCATCACTGACCCTGGCTTCCGTTTGGAGCTTCATCTCTTAGAGGCTGATGGGCTGAGACAAACAGGTTTGCCATGCCCATTTCCATATCCATAAAAGGCAGTTTTGATGGGGAGAGAGGTAACGAGTGCAATGCTTATAACAGAGCTCACAGTAGGGGCTCATTTAATGGTGCTTATTAGTGAGTGGTCTCCGGATAACGTCTTATTAAGGGGATGGGATTTGACACCTGGGCTTGGGCCTAGCCCAAGACCCCCAAGCTGTTTCATTGCCATATGGGTATGGTGATTCCTTTTTTAAATTTAATTTTAATTTTTATTTTTTGAAAGATGAGCTTTCACCATGATGGCCAGGCTGGTCTTGAACTCCTGACCTCAGGTGATCCACCCACCTCAGACTCCCAAAGTGCTAGGATTACAGGCGTGAGCCACCGCGCCCGGCGTGGTGATTCCTACAGTCCCTTCCTGGGGTCATGGTGAAGGTTAAATGAGACGCTGTGCAGGAATTACTCAGGATGGTGGCCAGAGCTGTTTGTGATCAATCAAACGCTCACTGGATAACACAGGAGCGTGGGGATGTGTGGGTTCTCCCATGCCTCCTGACTGTGCTTTTCTCTTTCTCTCCTGTTTTTCTTTCTTTCTTTCTTTCTTTTTTTTTTTTTTTTGAGGCAGGGTCTCACTCTGTCACCCAGGATGGAGTGCAGTGGTGTGATCGTAACTCACTGCAGCCTCCACCTCCCAGGCTTGAGCGATCCTCTCACCTCAGCCCCCTGAGTAACTGAGAATGCAGATTGTGCACCATCATGCCCGCTCAGCTAATTTTTATTTATTTTATTTATTTATTTAGGGTTGGCGTCTTGCTCTGTTGCCCAGGCTGGAGTGCAGTGGCATGATCTCAGCTCACTGCAACCTCTACCTCCAGGGTTCAAGCGATTCTCCTGCCTCAGCCTCTCGAGTAGCTGGGATTACAGGTACCTGCTACCACACCCAGCTAATTTTTGTATTCTTAGTAGAGATGGGGTTTCCCCATGTTGGCCAGGCTGGTCTGGAACTCCTGACCTCAGGCAATCCTACTGCCTCAGCCTCCCCAAGTGCTGGGATGATAGGTGTGAGCCACCGTGCCCGGCTTGTTCATTTGTTTTTGTATTGCTTGTGGCTGCCTTTGTACTGCAATGGCAGAGTTGGGTATCTGTGACAGAGACCACATGACTTGCTCGGCCTAACATATTTATTATTGGACCCTTCACAGGAAATGTTTGCCAACCCCTGGTCTAAGCCATTACAGTCTAAGTCTAGGCTGCAAGCTGCCCACTCCCTTAATCCAGAGGATTCTCACTTTAAGAGATCTTTTCGATCCCTCATTCCACTGTTCCCTAACCAGCTTACTTCTTTGGAGAACATTGCTTCCATTTCCCATCTTGATCGTAATTCGCTGTCAACGAACACCAACTCCGATTCAAAATATAGCCTTCCTTGGTGCAATTGTGAATGACATTTTTTCTGAAGAGGAAGGGGAAGACACACTTAGGAGGATCTGTGGGGGAAATGGGGACAGAGGGAGGATTATAAACACAGACAGTTTCTTTTCTTTTTTTTTTTTGAGACGGAGTTTCGCTCTTGTTACCCAGGCTGGAGTGCAATGGCGCGATCTCGGCTCACCGCAACCTCCGCCTCCTGGGTTCAGGCAATTCTCCTGCCCCAGCCTCCTGAGTAGCTGGGATTACAGGCACGAGCCACCATGCCCAGCTAATTTTTTTTTGTATTTTTAGTAGAGATGGGGTTTCACCATGTCAACCAGGATGGTCTCGATCTCTCGACCTCGTGATCCACCCGCCTTGGCCTCCCAAAGTGCTGGGATTACAGGCTTGAGCCACCGCGCCCGGCCAGAACACAGACAGTTTCTTAAAAAAATTTTTTTTTGGAGACAGAGTCTTGCTCTGTTGCCAGGCGCCAGGCTGGAATGCAGTGGCGCGACCTCGGCTCACTGCGACCTCCGCCTCCAGGGTTCAAGTGATTCTCCTGTCTCAGCCTCCCAAGTAGCTGCTGGGATTACAGTCATGCGCCACCACGCAGAGCTAAATTTTGGATTTTTAGTAGAGATGGGGTTTCACCATGTTGAGCAGGATGGTCTTGATCTCTTGACCTTGTGATCTGACCACCTCAGCCTCCGAAACTGCTGGTATTACAGGTGTGAGCCACTGCACCTGGTCTGAGAGTTTTATGTGTAATCATTGCTGAACTAATGGCACACCATGTTGCTTTTTATTTATTTATTTATTTTGAGACCAAGTCTCACTCTGTCACCCAGGTTGGAGTGCAGTGGCACGATCTTGGCTCAGTGCAACCTCAACCTCTTGGGTTCAAGAGATTCTCCTACCTCAGCCTCCTGAGTAGCTGGGTTTACAGGCACCCACCGCCACACCCGGCTAATTTTTGTAATTTTAATTAGAGATGGGGTTTCACCATGTTGGCCAGGCTGGTCTCGAACTCCTGACCTCAGGTGATCCACCCACCTCGGTTTCCCAAAGTGCTGGGAATTACAGGTGTGAGCCACCGCACCTGGCCAAACCATGCTTTTTTTTTTTTGACAAGACTTAGCTGTTTTCAAAAGAATTAAAATTTTGTAGAAGAGCCAGGATTTGAACTCAGGTCTGTCTGACACCAGAAACCATGTAGCCACCTGCTATTAACTGCTGAGTCCTGGGCATCTAGGACAGCCCAACCCGGGATACTCACCCAGCCTCGTGCAGTAGCGCCACCTGCCTTGGAATTCCTTGTCAAAGGAACACCAGTGAAAGTCACTGTGGATGGAGATACAACTGTAGTGGGTGACACCTTGATAGGTGAAGGGGAAGACACAGGGCTCACTGGAGATCACTGGAAAAGAAAGGACACGCCGATTGAAGGGCCAGCTTACAAAACAGATTTCCTTTCTTTCTTTCTTTCTTTCTTTCTTTCTTTCTTTCTTTTTTTTTTTTTTTTTTTTGAGACGGAGTTTCGCTCTTGTTACCCAGGCTGGAGTGCAATGGCGCGATCTCGGCTCACCGCAACCTCCGCCTCCTGGGCTCAGGCAATTCTCCTGCCTCAGCCTCCTGAGTAGCTGGGATTACAGGCACGTGCCACCATGCCCAGCTAATTTTTTGTATCTTTAGTAGAGACGGGGTTTCACCATGTTGACCAGGATGGTCTCGATCTCTCGACCTCGTGATCCACCCGCCTCAGCCTCCCAAAGTGCTGGGATTACAGGCTTGAGCCACCGCGCCTGGCTCTTTCTTTTTTTTTTGAGACAGAGTCTTGCTCTGTTGCCCAGGCTGGAATGCAGTGGCACAATCTCGGCTCACTGCAACCTCCGTCTCCTGGGTTCAAGTGATTCTCCTGCCTCGGCCTCCCGAGTAGCTGGGACTACAGGTGCACGCCACCATGCCCAGCTAATTTTCGTATTTTTAGTAGAGACGGGGGTTTCACCATGTTGACCAGGGTGGTCTCGATCTCTTGACCTCGTGATCCTCCCACCTTGGCCTTGTAAAGTGCTGGGATGACAGGCGTGAGTCCCCATACCTGGCAACCAAGAGCCTTTCATGCCACAAGAATTGGAGAAGAAAGTGACGGGAAGAAAGTGCAGGGGACTTCAGGAATATAATGTTGCTTAAGGGGTGGGGCTAGCACGTGAGATGCTAAAAAATTAAAAGATGGTCTCCTTACCTTGAGCCGGAGGGTGCAAATGTGCAATCAGTTCTGAAAGAGAAAAAAAGGGGTAACATTTAGATCACCTTCTAAGTTACTCTGTTCCCAGAGTAAGTGCTGTGAAAAGTATCTCAACATTCACACAGCCAACCGTTCTGTTGTCAAACACCTGCGCCATCGTATCTTGTAAACACCTACAATATCATACCCATGGACACTTCCCACTGGGAGATTGTGCATCTACCCATGAAAGCCCATTTATTCCTTTTCTTTTTGAGAAGGAGTCTCACTCTGTTGTCCAGGATGGAGTGCAATGGCATGATCTCGGCTCACTGCAACCTCCGCCTCCTGGGTTTCAGTGATTCTTGTGCCTCAGCCTTCCCAGTAGCTGGGATTATGGGTACCCACCACCACACCCCATTAATATTTGTATTTTTAGTAAAGATGGGGTTTCACCATGTTGGCCAGACTGGTCTTAAACTCCTGACCTCAAGTGATCCTCTTGCTTTGGCCTCCCAAAGTACTGGGATTACAGGCACGAGCCACCCCACCCAGCCTGAAAGCGCATTGATTCAGGCAAGGAACTCTGCACATTCCAAAGCCTTTCTTTTCATTTTTAAACCATTTGTCTGACCTCAGTCACACTCTTATCTTCCCTGCTGGTTACTGACGTAACCTTGTGAAATCTAGACAGATTTTTTGAATATCCAAGCAAGCATTTACTCCTTTTTTAAAAAAAGCACAAAAGATAGTTTAGTCTATGTACTGTTTATTTTGTAACTTACTCTCTTAACAGACCTTGAAGAACTTCCCAAAGCCATACATGTCATAAGCTCTGCCTTCCTTCTTTCCTTCTTTCCCCCGCTTCTTTCCTCTCTGTCTCTCTCTCTCTTCTTTCTCTTCTTTCTTTCCTTCTCTCCTGTCATTTTCCTTCCTTCCTTCCTTCCTTCCTTCCTTCCTTCCTTCCTTCCTTCCATCCTTCCTTCCTTCCTTCTCTCTCACTCTGTCGCCCAGGCTGGAGTGCAACGGTGCAATCTGGGCCCACTGCAACCTCTGCCTGCCAGGTTCAAGCGATTCTCCTGCCTCAGCCTCCTGAGTTGTTGAGATGACAGGCGTGCACCACCATGCCTGGCTAATTTTTGTATTTTTAGTAGAGACAGGGTTGCACTATGTTGGCCAGGCTGGTCTCGAACTCCTGACCTCAGGTGATCCACCCACCTCAGCCTCCCAAAGTGATGGGATTACAGGTGTGAGTCACCGCGCCTGGCCCAGCCCTTTCCTTCTTAAAGATTATTATTACTGTTACATAGATGGGACAGCTGAGGCTTAGAGACAGGCACAATCGCCCACGATCTCCCAACCAACACGAGGAAGAACAAGGGTGGAACAGGGACTCCCCATGTCCTGTATTCTGTACCGAACACTGTGCTCTGTTCAAAAGAGATCATGGGCAATGAACAGCATCTGTTTCCTGCCTGTCTCAACCCCTGCTCTGTCCCCTGTCCCCTCCTCCTCCCATTGCTCCCCCTGCTGCCGCCTCACCTGCGTTCAGCCCACACATGCAGCCAGCCAGCGACACCCATCCCACCAGGTTCCGCATCACCTCCAACTGCGGCGGGCACCGGGCACCTTAGCCAGCATCGCCTCTGACTTTATACCCTCCTGTTTCTGCCCCTCCTACTCTGGCTGCTCTCACAAATGTACTTGACAGCATCTCCTCCCCGCCCTCAATCTCCAGGTGCTCAGAAAAATTAGGAGCGTTCATCTTAGAATGCCATTTTTTTTTTTTTTTTTTTTTGAGACAGAGTCTCGCTCTGTCCCCCAGGCTGGAGTGCCGTGGCATGATCTCGGCTCACAGCAGCCTCTGTTTCCAGGGTTCAAGTGATTCTCCTGCCTCAGCCTCCTGAGTAGCTGGAACTACACACCCGGCTAATTTTTGTATTTTTAGTAGAGAGAGGGTTTTGCCATGCTGGCCAAGCTGATCCTGAACTCCTGACCTCAAGTGATCTGCTCACCTTGGCCTCCCAAACTGTTGGGATTATAGGCATGAGCCACCGTGCCCAGCCCCTGGCTGATTTAATTTAATTTAATTTTTTTTTTTTTTTTTTTTTTTGAGATGGAGTTTCGCTCTTGTTACCCAGGCTGGAGTGCAATGGTGCGATCTTGGCTCACCGCAACCTCCGCCTCCTGGGTTCAGGCAATTCTCCTGCCTCAGCCTCCTGAGTAGCTGGGATTACAGGCACGCGCCACCACGCCCAGCTAATTTTTTGTATTTTTAGTAGAGACGGGGTTTCACCATGTTGACCAGGATGGTCTCGATCTCTCGACCTCGTGATCCACTTGCCTCGGCCTCCCAAAGTGCTGGGATTACAGGCTTGAGCCACCGCGCCCAGCTAATTTAATTTTTTTTTAAGTAGACTCAAGATCCACTATGTTGCCCAGGATGGTCTTGAACTCCTGGCCTCAAACAATCCTCCTGTCTCATCCACTCAAAATGTTGGGATTACAGGCATGAGGCACTGCATCTGGCTGATAATGCATCTTTGACTTTGATTGATTCTTTTCTTTCTCTTTCTTTCTTTTTCTTTCTTTCTCTTTCCCTCCCTCCCTCCCTCCCTCCCTCCCTCCCTCCTTCCCTTCTTTCTTTCTTTCTTCTCTCTCTCTCTCTCTTTTAATGCTCTTAATTCTAGTTGTAACTTCTCTTGAAGACCATGGGCAGTGACATTCCTGAATATCCATGAGCTCATAGAGGCTGTGGTAAATTCCCACACAGAGCTGGCAAGGAACATTCTAGAGATTCACCCCCCACTGCACATGAAAGGCATGTTCAGGACACTGAGCCGTAGCCAGAACACCATACCCTCTGGAAGGGCTGACATGAACACCACAGAGAACTCATTATTCTTTTCCTGCTCGATGGAATCCTCACTATACCTCAAGGCACTGGGCAAACTGTGATCAAATAGTTTTCAGAATCAAAGTTGGTATCTAGCCAACAGTACTGGCTCGGGGGAGGCGGGGATGAAAGAAAAATTTTACCTGAAGTCATGAAGTGTTAGGGTTGTACTTGGATTTTAGAGCACCCCTAGGATTACTGCTCATCACAGGCACATGGACATTCCCGATGATTCTAAGAGAGGGGACATCATTCCGGGATTCAGTTGTTATCTTCCGCAAAAGTGAAGAGGGATGGCATTGGGTTTAGATTCAGAACGTCTACCTGCAATGCCAGCTTTAGGACTGGTGGAAAATAGAGGCGCATTCACATCAGATAGACTCATGTTCAAATCCAGGATTTTCCACTTATTAGCTGGGGACGTTAGCTAAAGGACTTGACCTCTGTCTGCGACACGGTGCAATGCCAGTAGGAGGCATTCAACCTTCACCAGTATTTGTTTTTTTTGTTTTGTTTTGTTTTGTTCTCTTGAGACAGAGTTTCGCTGTTATTGCCCAGGCTGGAGTGCTATGGCACAATGTCGGCTCACTGCAACGTCCGCCTCGTGGGTTCAAGAGATTCTCCTGCCTCAGCCTCCTGATTAGCTGGGTTTACAGGCATGCACCACTATGTCCAGCTAATTTTGTGTTTTTAGTAGAGATGGGGTTTCACTATGTTGGTTAGGCAGGTCTTGAACTCTCGACGTCAGGTGATCTACCCACCTCAGCCTCCCGAAGTGCTGGGATGACAGGCGTGAGCCACCACATCCAGCCGGTTGCTTTTAGAGTTGAATAATTGTGGTGAAGACACATGGATCTTCCGGAAACCCTGTGTATTCACCTGGAAGGGCTGCCAGACAATGCCATAGACTGTGGGGTGTTTTCTCACAGTTCTGAAGGCTGGAAGTCCATGGTCAGGGTGCTGGCAAACTCAGTTTCGGACAAGGACTCTTCCTGGCTTCTGCCTTTTCACTGTGTTCCCATTAGGCATTCTCTCTGTGTGCATGCAGAGAGAGGGGCAAGGGAGTGAATAGAGAGATCTAGTGTGTCTGTGTGTTCTTATAGCCAGCCTTTTCAATGATGGGCTCATAGAGGTACAAATGGGTGAAAGTGGAGCCTGAAATCACAGCAAACACCGAAATGAGAAACTGCACACATTCTTGACAACACGTCCTCAAGACAGACAAAAACCACACAAACCTCACACCTTCAGCATACCTAAAGAAATCGAAGAACCTTAGAAAATTCTTTGAAAAAATGTATTTTATTTATGTATTTATTCGGGGAGAGACGGGGTCTCCTTACGTTGCTCAGGCTGCTCTCAAACTCCTGGCCTCAAATGATCCTCCCATCTTGGCCTCCCAGAGGGTTGGGATCACGGGTGTGAGCCACCACGCCCAGTCACATTAGAACCTTCTTTCAAGAGGAAGAGTCAATACCCGTTTCCAGCAGAGCGATTTCCCAAAGGGGAGAAAAGCCACGTGAAGGAGAGAAAGGAGGATCAAAAGTTCTAAGATGGGGCCATAATCACCCCGCAGAGGACACATAACACTCTAAGTGAGAAAAAGCTAAAAGACAATCCTGGTGAATCAGAGAACCAAGGTCACAAAGCCAATTTAGACGCGTTGAACTGGAGGGTGGTGCCTGGGAATGCTTTGAGGCCAGGAGACGGAACTCGGCTCCAGGGGCAGGGCTGGCACCCGGGACCAAATTGAGGACGGAAGCACCTCCCCGTAAGACACACCCACCAGCGTGCCCTGTCAGTTCGCCATTGCCATGGCGACCCCTGGATGCGCGGCCTCATTCTAGAAATTTCTGCATAAACGACCCCTTAATTTGCATACAGTCTCAAAAGTGAGTATCAATATGACAGCAGTGCTGCCCCTGAGCCGCTCCTCTGGGCACACTGCCCATGGGGCAGCCCTGCTCTGCAAGGCGCCATCTTTCTGCTGCGGCTGCACACGGAGGCTTCAGTAAACCTTGCTGCCGAGGCCAGGCACGGCGGCTCACGCCCATAATCCCAGCGCTTTGGGAGGCCGAGCTGGGCGGATCGTGGGGTCAGGAGTTCAAGACCAGCCTGACCAACACGGTGAAACCCCGTCTCTACTAAAAATACAAAAATTAGCTGGGTGTGGTGGTGCGCGCCTGTAGTCCCAGCTACTCGGAGGCTGGGGCAGGAGAATGTCTTGAACCCGTGAGGCGGAGGTTGCAGGGAGCTGAGATCGCGTCACTGCACTGCAGCCTGGAGGACAGAGTGAGAGACTCCGTCTCAAAAGAAAGAAAAAAAAAGTTGCCGTCGAACACCACCATTGATTCTTTTCTTTCTTTTTCTTCTTTGCTTTTTTCTTTGAGGCAGGGTCTCACTCTATCGCCCAGGCGATAGTGTGACACCATCTTGGAGTGCAGTGATGCAGTCTCGGTTCCCTGCGACCTCCGCCTTCCCGGTTCAAGCAATTCTCCTGCCTCAGCCTCCCAAGTAGCTGGGATTATGGGCACCCGCCACCCCACCCACCTAATTTTCATATATTTAGTAGAGGTGGGGTTTCACTATGTTGGCCAGGTTGGTCTCGAACTCGTGACCTCAAGTGATCCATCCGCCTCAGCCTCCCAAAGTGCTGGGATTATAGGCGTGAGCCACTGAGCTGGCCTCTTGAATAATTTTCTAGGAGAAGCCAAGAACTATTCTGGGCTAAGCCTCAATTTTGGGGCTCTCCAGTGCCTCCTCAGCATCACATCTAGAGGAGAGGGTGAAAGAGCAGGGAGAGCTGTCCCTTTGGGCTGCCTTGAAATAAAGGTTGAGCCATGGGTTTATGTATTGTCATTCATTCTCATTCTTTCTTCCTCTCTTTCACTCTCTCCCTTGCTCCTTAAATTAGCTTTTCTAAACCCTACCTGGATGAGGATGAGAAAAAGAAGGAGGGGACACTTTAGGATGCTGCAAAACAAAATAGAATAAGAGGAAGGAAGGAAGAAAGGAGGGAGGGAAGGAAGGAAGGAAGGAGGGAAGGAGGGAAGGAAGGAAGGAAGGAAGGGGGAAGGGAAGGAAGGAAGGAAAGGAAAGGAAGGAAGGAAGGAAGGAAGGAAGGAAAGAGAAAAATCTGGCCACTGCCTATCCCTCCTTGCCAACAAAAAGCCATGCATTAAAAAATGCATGCCTTTCACTACATAGACAGCAGAGGGCGCGCTTGAGTTATGAATCGCGGAAGACAAACCATCAGCCTCTAGACATTGAACTAATGTAATTATGAGACTTCAGAAGTAAATTTAAAAAGTCCCGAGAGCACGGCAAAAGAAACAGTCAGTAGAGTGAATCGGCAACCAACAGAATGGGAAAAAATGTTTGCAGCCTACCCATCTGACAAGGGGCTGATATCCAGAATTTACAAAGAACTAAAGCAGATCTACGAGAAAAAAACAAACAAGCCCATTCAAAAATGGGCAAAGGACATGAACAGGTACTTTACAAAAGAAGACATACAGGAGGCCAACAAACATATGAAAAAATGCTCATCATCACTGGTCATCAGAGAAATGCAAATCAAAACCACATTGAGATACCATCTCACACCAGTTAGAATGGCGATCATTAAAAAATCGGGAAACAACAGATGCTGGAGAGGATGTGGAGAAATAGGAACACTTCTTCACTGTTGGTGGGAATGTAAATTAGTTCAACCATTGTGGAAGACAGTGTGGCGATTCCTCAAGGACCTAAAAATAGAAATCCCATTTGACCCAGCAATCCCATTACTGGGTATATATCCAAAGGATTATAAATCATTCTACTACAAGGACACGTGCACACGAATGTTCATTGCAGCACTGTTTACA